CGGCAGGAGAGTTACGGAACAAAAACTTAAATGTGTGAGAGAAGGAAAACATGCAGCGGAATTGGAGATTGAGAGGTTGAAAGTTGAACTCGATCGTGTCAACATGGAGAAGACGAAGTCCAATTTGAAAACCAAGCTGGATGAAGTAGCTAACAATCCGTGCGTAGACAAAGGGAAGCAACCTGCTTCTCTGAGTAAACAAGCTGGACGCGCCAATGACAAAGAAGGTTTTATGGCAGATGCACGCAAAGCATTGAGGAAAATGAGTATGGACGGCGTGAAGGCTATATGTGCTCAGGAAGGTGTGGTGTATACTACGTTGGAAAAAACGAAAGAAGCGATTGTCACCCATCGCGCGACCAAAGCGTTCGAATCAGCATCGAAGCAAGCTGCAATCCAGGAAGTCTCCGAAGACACCGACACTAGCGTCGACATTATGAAGGCTGGCGAAGACGAAGGTAATTCTTAGCAACTTTCTCGAGTGTGACTAGCCTCTGGGATCTTGAAAAAAAATATCGACGCATTCGTGCTATATCTACTGATCTCCTTTGTTGTAAAGCGTTGAATACATTGTTTTGTCTTGTAGTGCTTCTTTTAATTATCGCTCGACAGATTTCATGGGCCGAGAAATACTCCAGATATACGGAAAGGTTGTTTGACGATGGTTTTGACTTCGATGTTTGTAAGGGGCCGTTGATTTACGTTTTCATCTCCCCATGGTGTAGACATACCTATGTAGGTGATACTTCTCGTGATCGTTTTACTCGATGGAGCGAGCATGTCTATAGAGCGACGAGTGCTGATGTCACTGAGAAAGGTAAACGAAATGAGAAACTCTATCAGTGGTTAAGGAGGAGTGGTGCTGACTTTTATGTTCTTATTCCGTTATGCCAATATCGAGATGAGGATCTACTATTGAGTTGTGAACTAGGCTACTAGCCGGGCCGCCTGGGTCATCTTGCGTTGCCCGAGCAGATGGTTCCAGCAAAAAACAAAAAACAAAAAAACAATTCCAAAAAATCCGAAAAACAATTATGTTATGCCGAAAAATAAACTGAACAACTTTTGCCTCAGGGTTACATCAAAATTCTTTACCAAATTAAAAATAAAAATAAAAATTGAGAAATAAAATTTTATTTTTATTTATTTTAATCCTTTTTGGCCCGGCTGGGCAAGTGGTCCTGGGCCACTCTGGTAGCCTAGGTTGTGAAAGATTTTTATTAGGACCTTCTCCTATGTCTTGAACGCACGTGACAAACCTCGTAAATACAAGAAAAATCGACCTGGCTTACGTGAGCGATTACGTCAGAAATGACGCAATAGTGATTTGGAGTTGACGAACAAGGATGTTGCGAAGTGTAGATCGCTCCTGATTTTCCACTGTAGTACGGGGATAATATCCAGTAGTCTTTTCACGATCTTGCGTGACTGCGTTGACCGTGACATTAGTAATTGTGTAGTGACTTGTAGGAGTGGTGATATCCTGTGAGATTCGTGGAAGGTGTTGAAACGGTGTTTCGGGGCGTCTACTATCTCATGCACGTATGGTACTGCCCAACTAAGAAAGTCTAAGGCATGGTTAAAAGAAGGTGTGTCGTTGAAATTTTCACGGTCAATTGTTTCATGAAACGTTAACTGTATTTAAAGCTCCGTTAATTGGTCTTCTAAGTCATTCGTCGTCACGATCTTCTCTTGGAACATGGAGTCTGGATCAGTTGATGTACGCATTTACGGCGATTCGGTGTTTCTCTGAGAACTTGAAACGGACTAGATTTCGGCTGCAATGTATTCTTTCTGATTATGCGAGACGACGTTTTAATGTTCAACTGAGGCATAAATTAGTAGTTCGTAATAGGTACAATTTTTCCTTTAACAAATCAAGACACGCCGACTATGTGTGAAGGCTATTAGAACCCTTGATATAAGCACGGCTTGGAAATACTCACTGATTCGCAAAATTCGGGTTGTGTGGTGCCGTAACGAGACAATTGGTGATATATGCTACAATTTCAGGGCAGAATTTTGGAATCCTCATGCTACATGCCAGTGTATCAAATATGGTGATCATCGTCCAAGAAGGGATGTGCACGTGGCCTTTCATATTAGTGACGTCAATATCTTTCCCGCAATTATGTCCAACTCTCATAGTATTATTAATCCCTTACAATCTCTCTCTTCGTCCATTTTATCCCTACGTAAGCAAATCTTAAAGTTTTTTCAATCCCTCCCCTGCCTTCCATCTCTTTCTCCAAAGATCTTAAGTAACAATGAGATTTCCTACTGTTTCATTTTTTTTCTTGCTTCGGCTTCTGATCAGGCTAATGAGGTTCGGCGACAACTTTCTCGCTTTGATGGTCTAGTCTTTTTGCCTCTGGATCATAATCTTGGTGACTCTTATGTCTGTTGCCCGATGACCTACAGGTCGAGGTTGAACAAGTTGTTTCTCGAGAACTCTTTCTTTTCTATTTCCAATTTGAACGAAGGTTCGATTCTATTGGACTGCAAAAAGGAGTATAATGATAAGAAGTTAGCGCTAGTGGGAAAATGGAATTCGAAAGGCTCCCTTGGTAATGCCTATTGTGTTCCTAAGCACAAAGACGTATCTCGGTGGCGGCCGATATGCCCATCTTTCTCTGAATGTTCCAACGTGGGTTCACGAAGGATTTTGAGCGCTATCAATTGCTTGTTGTGGTCTTTGCCTTCCTCACTTCACTTCAATCTAAGAGCTACTTCCGATCTCATGACTTTTATCTTCAGACTAAATAAACAGATAAAGAAGGATGATTTTGTTATGGGAACTTCCTTTGATACCAAGGAAATGTTTTCAAATCTGCAGCATTCCTCCATCATCAATGCAGTACACTGGGTGTGTAATTTCAGGATGGGACAAGGATATAAAGCGGCTGCGGTATTGATCAGGGGCAAGCAAGCCAAGTTGCTGGGGGCCAAAAAGGAAGACGGTTGGGTTTAAATTTCTTTCAGAACAAGCAAGGAGTTTGTTGTTTTTGAATTACAGCAGACCTTCATAAAGGTTGGTGGAATTATTTTACAGCAAAGCAATGAAATACCAATGGGTAAATCATCCAACCCGACTTTAGTTTGTCTACTCTGTGCTTTTCATGAATTTATGTTCCTATCTTCTCTTGACTCTATCCGACAAAAAAATCATGGGTGTCGTTTGGTAGATGATGTCTCCATTTTTGTTATCTGTATCGAGTTAGAAGCCATGAATGTAGTTGATGGTGTCAAACTGATAGATCGTTTTTCGAAATGCTATGATAGCAATCTTGTGTTAGAACAGACGAATGATGGTCAGATATGGGACTTTATTGGCTGTGTCCTCAAAGTTTTTGAAGATGATGGGGGTGTGGCTTGTATCCCGATGCACAAGAATCAACGTCTGTGGAAGGAGAGCAAACCCGTTTTTCAAAGTATTCAAGATTTTGGTTCGTACTCCAATAAACAACAGAAGATGGCGGTAATTAGCTCCTTTCTGCATGGGGCTAGGACGTTTACAATTATTCCTGGTACTAAATTTCCTTTTCTTTTTACTTTGGAAGTTGAGTTGTGGAGACATAACTATCCTGATTATTTTTTCGATAATTCCTTGATCAAATTTTCAAGGAAATTTGCTGGTGTGTGGCAACAATGGATACCAGTGTTAACAGGGTGGGACAAGGTTTCGCGGCGACCAATGAGCAGAAATAGAAGTTGACGACCATATTGGGGAAAGCCCCGTGAGGGGGCCTTGTTTTCTATGACTTGTTGGTCCGCTTTTGGCCCGTTTTTAGGACCCCCCTTTTTTAAAACGACTGAAGTAGCAGTAGAGTATCAGACCTTTTTCTGATGAAAAGAAGTTGTGTGTTGGGTTTCAAACTCGGACCATCAGCGCAACAACGAGTTTTCTGGACGTAGCATTGACTGCAAGTCTTTTGGAAGAAGTGTTGGTTCCGATCGGTTTTTGAACTGCCGTAGGGTGTTCTTAAGGTACCAATGACAGGTTCTTTCTGAGTTACGGTCCTCTTTCTGATTCGTCGAATTCTTTAGCTATAGGAGCTTCACCGAAATAGGACCTAGCTCACGTAGAATAAATCAGAGCTACGACTGCTGATTCCCTACCGACAAGATCCCTGATGAGAGCTGGTGTAGCGACCAGCCAGAACCGGTCGGATCACACCACGGTTAACGTACTCATTCATGTTTCATCGTTTTTCTTTCGTTAGGGATTTTCCATTCTACGTTTGGGTCTTTGTCTATGTTTTCTCTTTCTTTATCTTGTCTTTTCTCCCTCTTTCCTATTCATCTCACCTTTCCTCACCTTGTCTATGTGCCTACGTGGTCTAATTCGAGTTTCTTTGGATGGTCGCACTTTCGTGTTGCTACATCGACATACCCACAAAAGGGCTCCGTGTCCAGGTCGGAAAAAGGCCCCCCCCCCCCCCCCAAAAAAAAAAAAAAAAAAAAAAAAAAAAAGGCTGGTGGATAAATCACGGCAGCAGTTTGGATTCCGTGGGGCCGGGCAAAAATCCGCATTGGGAAAAAGAGGCTTGGGGCTGTTGGAGGTCCAATGGTATTGGTTTAAACCACCAGTACTCCGCCCAGCTATAGGCCGTGGAAAATAATAGAGTAGAAACGGTTCTAGTTGGATGAATTTGGGTGCTCCTGTAGTGACCCGTATGTTTCCTAGAATCGTGGCGCGTGGGGCCACTAACCCAAACCACTTGCTAATGGTGCAAATGGGATCAGACAACGGGACTGTCAGCCACCTCTCATGGGCCTATTGTTTGGGTTTGCGCGCACCCCCCCCCAACTCCCTCTTCTGTCGCCCTGTGCCCCACTTTTCTGGGCTTACCCCCTCAGCCTTCTCCCGATCGTTGAACTGAACTATTCTCTTCATCTGAAGATATCTGGATTCGAACTTCAATCTCTATTTCAACAATCCAGGGGGGTATTGGACCAACTGAGCTAGGCCCGTTGGACCGATGGACCATTTTGGTTTCTCTATTTCTCTGGCTTCATTTTGTAGGCTTGCCCTCCCCCAAGCGTCACGTCCCCCTGTGTCGGTATCGTAAATCGAGCCGTTCAGGAATTTTGGACCGTTCGCCACGTCACGTCGATCTGGATAATGCAACGCCACGTCACGTCAATCTGGATAACGTAGCGCCACGTCACGTCGTTCTGAACACGTAACGCCACGTCACGCTCTTCGTAGATAATGTTCACGTGGTCAGGCATCTCACGCGAATGTGGATGACGTTCGCCACGTCACGTTGATCGTCTGTGGCTACCGTAGCGCTTGCCACGTGTGGGTGCCAAACCTTCACTTGAAGTCGTTTATAGGAAGGTGAGAAATACCGTCTTCATCTTCGTGGGCCATCACATTTTTCGTGTTTCTATTTTCTGTCCTTGGCGCATGATTCATGCCCCTCTTTTCTTCCTCATCTTCCTTATCATCATCTTCTTCTACTTCGGCGTCTCCTCCTCCTCCTCCTCCTCCTCTCTCCCACGTCCTCCTCCTCCTCGTCCTTCCCCTCCTCCTGCTGCTCCTGCTCCTCCTGCTGCTGCTGCTGCTCCTCCTGCTGCTCCTCCTCCATCTCCTCCTCCACCTCCTCCCCCTTCTCGCCCTTCCCCTCCTCCTGTTCCTCCTGCTGCTGCTGCGCCTCCTGCTGCTCCTCCTCGATTCGTTGACTTTCTATACGAAGAGGGATAGTTGCTTAGATGCCTGCACTCACGAATGTCATGGAAAAAAAAAAAAAAAAAAAAAAGGACACACCCAGTGTACGTCGGAGCGATTCAGTGTGTCATTACATTTTGTTTGGTACGTATTATTCGGCGACCGTCTGACTGTCCGGGTCTATTCTTTTTTTTTTTTTTTTTTTTTTTTTTTTTTGATCCTTCCGCATGTTCACCTACGGAAACCTTGTTACGACTTCTCCTTCCTCTAAATGATGACCAGGTTCAATGAACTTCTCAGGTCCGGGTATATTCTGACAGATGCATATGTGGAAAAGAACACAGGCAATTTTGAAAATCCAGGAACAAGTATTGGGAGCAGCATTGAGGGCAGATACAGGGACACTGCCGTGCGTTTTATCCGGGGAGAAGTTGGCGACCCCGGTGGACGACCGGTCGTAAGGAGACGACCGATAAATTTTCATTTTATGCTTTCGAATTGGGGCCGTTGAGAGAGGGGGGGAATTAGCTGTAATCAGTGAAATGCTTGTGAAATTGATGGCATATCGCGCACGAATGCCCATGCCAAAATGTACCTGGACAGTGGTAATGATCGGTCGCATGCTCTGGATTGATTTGGTTGTGCAGAGGTTATCCAAGGTAGTACATTCTGATAGGGGCATGCTTTGACAATCATTATATCCTTTTTCATATAAAAGAAGTGCTTGATATTGCCCAAAAATTTAGCTGCGCGACAAGAAGGTACTCAAATGAATGTTTATGGGAAATTGGTCCTCCCGGACATCCGTTAAAATTGGAACGATACACAGAGAGAAGATTAAAAGATTAGCATGGGCCCGAGGCAAGGATGACACGCATAAAACGACAAATGGTTTAGGAAACGTTGAAGTCAACCCCCCCTTCAAAAGCACCATGAGGACATCCTTTCGGTGGAAGCGCCAGGAGAATGAGGTTGATGTTTCAGTGGAAAGAGTGACCTGTCAATTCATTCCACCCCC